ATTTAGATGAAAACATCACAAGGATTATTTTATATTCAATTTCTGCCAAAAATCTCTTTTATCTAAATCTTTAAATGTGACTCATGACAGAGGATTGAGTTCATTTAAAGGTTCAGTCATTTTAAATACAGTTGTGATAATAAAGTGAATCCAGCTGTTCAGTCATATGATTTGAGTGAACTTCCTGTGTCATCACTGATCAATCAGTTCCTGTCAGTCGGAACTTCATTCACGATCAGTGGGTCTGAATTAAAGGAGGTTTTAAAGACTGTGAATCCCATGATGCTTTGCAAAGGTCCTCAGGAATGAACTTATCATTACTGAAACAGGTAACGTGTAAAACAACGTCATCCAGAGCTCATAAGATCATATGCTTGATGCTGCTGTTTCCATAGAAACCAGTGACCTGTCCTCACCACCGTCTCATAAATAACAAACCCCTTTCCATGACAACCAGTCTGTGGTCTTTACTGTTTCCATAGAAACCAAAAAATGCTCGCTGTTCTCATAGCAACCAACTCATTCTCTCTGCTATTGCCATAGTAACTAGCTCAACCTCCATTAGATTGGATTCAATTTATTTTATTTGTGTAAATCACAGCAGACTTGGGGTGGGGGTGGGGGGTGCAATTTCATCTCCGTCAAACTTGTTATAATGACATAAGATGTAATGATGCTAATGATATATATTTTGTATTATATTATTAATTTGATTCATTGCATATCAACTTGTTTCCACAGTAACCATCATCTCTATTGTTGTTTTAAAGAATGATCAGCATGTATTTACTCTTCAGATCTGGTCGCCATCTTTGTCCATCAGAATCATCACCCACTGTCTCAACAGCGCCTCCTGCAGCTACCCCTTCAGTGCGACCATGGATAGCACCCCAAGGAGGTGGATTCTGAAGCCTCTGTCACCCCTGCTGCAACCCTCAGACCTGCGGACCATTGCCAGCCCAATCCGAGGTGACGCCCCTGACCTGAACAGTGCAGTCTTCAGCTCAGAAAGTAGCTCTGTCACAAGCAACCATTTGGTGGTCTGCGCTTCCCAGCAGGACGATGGGCCCCCAGACAGAGGGAGCATCAGTGACGAGTGGCAACCCAGTGGCCCCAGCAGCCCCAGCAGCAGTTCAGGCTCTCACTGTGGCTTCTACTCCTTTGTGGAGGATCCATCGAGTCAAGAAGCAGAGCTTAACGAAGCCTGGATGGTTTCACCACAGCGGCAGGCTCAGCTGCTCACCTTGAGGGAGGAGAAAGGATTCAAACTACAGACCTACACCAGCAGCAGGAAGCCAGAGAGCCTATTCTCAGAGAGCATAGAGGAATCACAGTACAAAGTGGATCCAGAGAATGTCCTCAAAGTGGTGGGGGAGGAAGAGGAGAGGCAGCTCCGCAAGGAGATCATTCACAGCCAAGCACAAAAGAAGAACCCAATTTTCAAAGATCAGCTGCATGTTCTGGAGAATCTGGATCTGAACAGATCCACAAACCAACTGATAGAAGGTTTCAGTGTGAACTATAGTCCTGTCAGCACCAGAACAGAACCTCCTAAACCAGCTGAATCTGAGACAGTCGACAAGGAGCAGATCAACTTTGGTGCTGTGCGACAACAGTTCCTGAAGATGGAGCACAACCTTAATCCACTGAAGTTCTCAGCAATACATCTGAACTCATCTTTTCAGCAGGATCCTGATGTGTTCTTGTCTAGACAGGTGGAGACATTTGACAGCATGAAGGTGAGTGACAGTGCAGATCAGTTTAAACCATCAGACGCAGATAAGACCTACCCAGAGAGGAAGGTCACAGGGTGCCCGATTGAGGAAAGTCTGAGCAGGAAGAGCAGTGTGTTTGATGACCTGGACTCTGGCCTGGAGGAGCTGTTGGTGGAGGTGGGTGGCGGATACACCAGTGACAAGGTCATGTTCAATGACGACTCTCAGCATGAAAACATCGGCTGCAAGTCCACACCTGAGTCCGAGACTCCAATTGAAAGGGAAATCCGATTAGTTCAGGAACGCGAGGAGAACCTGAGGCGTTCTCGCGGCCTGAAGCACACTGACAGCAAGAAAGAGATCGTCGAAATCAAAACCAAACGTTTACAGTCATCGCTCACACCCATCAAAGTTAAAGAAAAGACTTGTTTGAGCTTCATCACTCCGCAAGACTTTCAGAAGGAGATCGAGACTAGTGAAGAACCTCAGCAGCAGGAAGGGATCCTGGGACAACACAACCAAGATGTTCCACAGCAGCTTGAGGAGGTAAAGTGCAAGATTGACCAACAAGACAAAAGACCTCTGTCTGTGTCTGGAGAGACAGATGTCTTCTTGTCTCCCTGCTGTCCTCATAGACACCCTGAAGAAACCGAGTTGTCCATAAGTCAAATTAATTCAGTTTTCACCTCCTTCACTGTGAGGGACTTGATTGTCCAGGGGTCAAGACATTTGGACAAGGATCCAACTACTCCATCACACTCCTCCTCCCCAGCACTGACACCACAGCATAAACTGGCCTGGACCATGCCTCAATCCTGGAGGGAAAACCTGGAGTCCACTGGCCTGCAGTCCAGAGAACAAGGAGCTCCAGATTTCATAGAGAAGGAGATCCAGGAGGCCCTGAGACGGGAACAGGAGCTGAGGGAGTCCAGGAAGAAACCCAGTCATCAGCTCTTCTCTCCAACTCCTCTAGTGGAACAGGCAACCAAGATGGCCGTCAGTCAGTTCTACCCACCTGCAAATACAGGTATGTGGTTCTTATCTAGGTTGGATTACAAAACAGGAAAACTAATCTAGTTCCACAGGAGAGGAGCCTGAAGGTTCTACCCCCTGTTCTACTCTTACAGACTCTAGAACCACAAGAGAACCTTCAATCATCCAGCCTAGAGCGAACAATTGCATGGAATAGTTTCTCAGCAGGTACAGGATGTTTCTAATTTTCAAAATAAAGCTCAGGGGAAAAAGGCTGTCAGTGGCTTGTTTTTGGTGTAAACAGTTGCTTTTGAGTAATTTGATCACTTGGGACTTGGGACTAAGTGAAAGATAACATTTATGTGCTGACCCAGAATCGTGAACACTTCTCACAACTTTATTGCTGTAGTTAATTTGTGCTGAATTCTAACTGTAGCACCTCCTGCCTGAAGATCCCTTATACAACAAGTAGAAGGAAACCTTACACCCAAATGTCTGCAATGCATATACATATATAAAGCTACAGCCAGAAGCTGGTTCGCTTAGTTTATCATAAAGATGTGAAACAAACAGATCACCTGCTTCTATCCACAGCAAACACAAACATTACTGAGGATTTGATTTCTGGTCTGGTGTGTGAGATAATGAGTAACTTAACGAGGGCACGATCAAAATCCAGCAGAGGTCAGCTTCACTTTGACTGATGATTAACTGGACCAGAGCAACAACCTTCAAACAGGAAACCACAGAAAAACGAAGTAACATAACGTGAGTCCGAGGTTTCGACAAAGGATTTGATCAAAGATGAGCTGGTGAATAAATATTTAAGTGTTTGTCTTCAGTTCATTTGACTATAAACGTGATGCTTTCACCTGATGACGTTATCCAGTATGAGGATTAAAGATGAAGAGAGAGAGGGAGAGAGACAGACAGAAAGTCCTGAACGTTGTGAACATCCTGAATGTGCTGAACACATTTTCTCCATTGTTGTATTATCTTATCTCATCCTGAACATCCTGCATGTTGACATGTTCATATTTTCACATATTCTCATGGGGGACAAGTTATCCATTAGTAAAATGTGAATGGAATTGATGCTGCTGTTACTTTGACTTTTTGCATCTGAAGGACGAAGGTCAAACGTAACCAAACCGAAAGTTCCACACGACAGCAGGGGTGATCACTGATGATGTCACTCATGATGTCATCTTCCTTCCTGTTGTGTTTCAGATAAACCCGTCAGTCTGTGCTCTTCCTCAGCTTGTCCCCCTGTGCGTCTGTCCTCCATCTCCTTTATCACTGCCCAGCCCTGGACCTCCTCGCCCCCTGCTCCCCGCTCCTTCACCTCCTCCCCTGTGGTGGCCCCATCAGGACCCCTTCCTCTCAGGGGCCTCACAGGTACCCTGCTGCAGAACTTTGAGGACAGACGAGTCAAGCTGAAGCTGGAGGAGAGCTCAGTGAGTTCATAACAAGGCTTTTATTTTGGAGATTCTTTATCCTGTCAGTGATATTTCAGAATAAAGCCCTGGTCTCTATAGAACTTTTTTTTTTAAATTTTTTTTAGGTATATATATTATTTTATGCCTTTAATGGACAGTTGAAGAGAGGCAGGAAACAGGGGGAGGGACATGAAGTCGATCAAAAGCTGCAGATTTTAATGTGAAATGTTTTTGTTCGGCTCAATCACTGAATTATTCTCTTGCTTTGATGACGAGGAATGAATCTTCCTGTTTTCGTGTCAGTACGCAGGAATCCAGCCGATTGATGACGTGAACAATGAGGTACGATCACGGCACTTTTACTCTCTTTTACTGTGACGTTGTGATGTCTGTGGCGTTCTTATGTTTCCCCCCTGATTCTTGTCTGTTAAGCTAAGCTAACTGTTTCTTCCTGCTTGCTGTCTTTATGCTAAGCTACCCCATGGTCTCTAACATTAATGATAAATTAAGTTGTGTTTCCCATGCACTCCTGTCTTTATGCTAAGCTAAGCTAGCTGTAACCTTTCTCTAAATGTTGAACTGGTCCTTTAAATTCAAACGTCTTCTTCTTCTTCTTGGAGACACATGGCTCAGAAAATAAATAAATCAGGCTAAGGCTATACATTCAAAAATTCAAACATATTTTCTGTCTGTGTCATTATCAAAATGTGACTCCTCAACCTAATTTGTCTGTCTCTTTATCTCTGTCTCCTTGTATCTTTGACTCATTGACTCTTTGTGTCTTTATGTCTGTCCTCAGGTCGTTGAGTCGACTCGTGTCATTCGACATAAAAACCAACGAGCTCTGCGATGGGAGGCTGGAGTCTTTACCAACCAGAAGGACCAGCAAGACTAGATCCAGGACCAGGATCTGAAGTGGGACTTTCAAATGCTTTACAACTGGAGCTGTGTCTCAATTTAGGGGCCGCATCCTTTGCCGGCTGCATTCGTAGACTGATTGCATCACACAGTGCAACTAGACTGTCCCGATTCGAAGGCTCCTCCAAAATGTGTCCGTCCCCCTGGCCCAACCTATCCCAGGAATCATAGCACGCCAGTTAACTGTTATTTAAAGAGATGATGGCAGAAAAAAGAAACGCGCCCATGGCAGGATGATTTATTGTTAAATTTAAGTTCTCAACAGCTAAAGGTGCACATGTTAAAAAAACATATTTTCTAAATTTTGAATCAGCCGAACAACCTTTTTCGTCCGTAGCTTTGTTGCTAGGCAATGGTTGTAACTGCGGGACAAGCTTGAGACGAAATAGAAAGAGCAGAACATCTCACTTCGGTTCGACCCACGCAGTTTACACAGGACATAAGTGTTGACCTGGTCCTCCACAGGACGTAAGTGTGGACATGGTCCTCCACAGGACGTAAGTGTTGA